TTAATGATAACTCTGCTAAGAAGCCACTTACCCTTTAACTGCAGTGTGATTGTCAGCAGGCCTGAGGGCAACTGCGAGGGTACTGACACTTTATGGGCAGGACATGCAGCAGCTGACTTTGCAGTTTGCAATCAGTGCTAAATTTGCCTTTTTGTAATTCAACACTTTATTGCTAAACACTCATTCTAGCAAGCGACCCTTGTTAAGACATATCAACACCAGCGTCCTAGGGTGCAGTTTATGATACAACTAGGCTGATCAGTCAGCTATACTGAGAGGGATGTTCCTACTTCCCTCCCCTTTTCAGTTGTACTGACTTCAGAACCCATAGTGAACTACTTTTTACAGGAGCATTAGTTTTCATGATTTGTTCCTGTTGGCAGCTGTTACATTGACTGAACTCTAAACATGAAATCACGTCCTTGGAAGATGAGACAGGAAAACTGCCATTTCAGACATAGGAACTTTTCTATTTAATTTGCATAAAGTATTTTCCCTCTTATTTGTAGGTTATTTGGATTAGAGGTATGCGTATACACATATATATGGAAATATGGAGATTGCTGGATGATTGCTGATAGATGAAAATGAGAATGAGTTATGCATCTAACAGAACAGGTGCATAGCTCCCTGTTGCTCTATTCAGCCTTTACAGGCTCACATGCTGGGATAATGAGAAGGAACGCTGAACCTGGCTTGTTGCCAGAGGCTGCATATACCTATTTCATGGGGGAAAGTTTTAGACCCATTGTATTGTTAGGTTCAACGTTAAATAGGTAGATGTGAACAAAAGAGCTGCCAGGAGAGGTAAAATGGCCCCCAAACAAATAAGGAGGTTAAAAAAAGACTTTTAGAAGTGAAGCTGAGAATTGGGTTACAGCTGAGAAGTGGGTGAGGAGATAAGGATTAGTAGAATAATTTGTTTATGTAATTTTAGCCACTGGAACCGACTTTCACGTGAGTACATGTGATGTACAAGAGATGTTCCTAGTGAGGGCATCAGTCCAGACTAGTTTTTACATGCACATACTGTATTGTTCAGTGCTAGGACCAGACCTCAAGACTGTTCCAGTAGTCTCTGTGGGAGGGCTGAGGAGCTAGAGCTCTAGAACACTTCAAGCAACAGAGAATGTAGTTGTGCATCTATGTCTGCTTTTTGGAGTTTAAGTGCCATTTAAGTTATTTAAATAGTCTGTGTCTGCTGCACAGTGAAGGGGCAATAACCTGTAAGTTTAAATCCCGTTGTACAGTAAAGCTGGGATTTAGCTGAAGTCTTGAGACTTTCTTGCTACTATCTTGCAGGCTGATTATTTTTTTGCATTGCAGCGACACGTAAAGATGTGAAGTGTAGCAAATTTCTGCTATTAATTAGCTTAATTATGATGAAATTATTTTTTCCATATCATAACTTAATACCTGTTCTTTATGTCTGCAGATTTGATTTTATCCTAGATAATGTTGGTGGATCCACTGAGAAGTGGGCATTAGATCTCTTGAAGAAATGGTCAGGAGCAACATATGTTACCTTAGTGACACCTTTCCTGATCAATATGGACAAACTTGGAGTGGCTGACGGCATGTTACAAACAGGAGTCACTGTTGGTTCCAAAACTCTAAAGGTATTTGACAAAATCCTATATACTTTCATATTTGTATTACTCTAGTGACTTCTTTTGTAGCTTGGATGCTAGTCATGTGGCTCATGTAGAGGCAGCTGGTGCATTGTCCTCATATGTCATTAAGTATACTTGAGATGCACTATTATTCTTTCCTTCTTTCTTGCACTGAAAAGAAATGTGGTAGGCTGGTGCTGTTGGGTGTATGTGGTAGTTTGGGGAGCTTTGAAGTTTTGATTCCTTATTGTGCTTTCCACTGTGGCCTTTTCCATATGGCCTCCCTAGTGAGTCTTGCTGACAGCCAGCGTTTCATAGTAAACAGAGCAAATCCCTGCCTCATTGAAATGAGGGCAGTTTTGCTACTTGCTTTGGGCTGGTCAAGCTTTCTCTCAAAACATTGTTCCATGACTAATTCTCTTCATCCTATTCCAGCACCAGTAATAAAAGTGATTGAGGGTGGCTAGGAAGTCTTTCATCTCTTTCATGTTCATGTGTCTGGATGGTGATACTGATTTTTCTAGTTTTCGTAAGTGGATCTTAAAACATTCTGCCAATGGGGCATTCTGATCAGTGGGGCTTTTTAGAACTTTCTCTTCTCTCCACTTGTGTACTTGCTCTCCAGATGAATGCTTTTCAAGCAGTTGCTATGGTATTCCTGGGATGACTTGACTTAATGAGATTCTAAGTCCTGCACGAATACTTTCACAGTAAAGCCCGAAAACAAAATGAAAAGGCATTGAAGAAATAATGTAATATATTTCTCAGTGTGCATATTTCAGTGATGAGGAGGATTCTATGCCGTGTATTAAAAATCATCTCTCTTTAGCAGAGGATGGCTCTTTTTTATTAGTGACTTACTCAGAAGAGGTGCTCTTGACTTGTGCTTGTGAGATCTTCCCAAAATGTTTTTCATGTAAGCTGCCATCTGTCATTGGGCAGTGATGATTTTGGCAGATATGATAGTAGAAAAATATAATCACTAACACTGAAGTGGAAGGTTCTAAATGCCACATTGCTGGAATTATTTCACCCCCTTTGTGAGTGTGCATAAACATATAGCACCATTTCTTTCTTATGTAACACATAATGGTGTTTCTAGTTGTAGAGACTAGGTAGTTGTTTTTCTTTACTAGCTGACTTGTGCAATTGGACACAAAATTTGTCCTGCTCCTGTTGTGGTAACAAAACATCCCAGTCTGTACGTTTCATCCACCTGCTTAGGTGGACATGAACATATTTCCATATTTCCATATCTTTTCCTTAAGTTACTTCTCTAGGTATTCTGTCATTAATTTTAGTTCCCATTTCAGTTTGCTCTAATGATTTGTTAATATATTTGTGATCTTTCTTGCAGCATCTTCTTAAAGGAGTCCATTATCGGTGGGCTTTTTTCATGCCAAGTGGCCCAAGTTTGGATGAAATAGCAGAACTAGTTGATTCTGGAAAGGTATGTCAGTACTGGTCATTTGGGTATTTATGCTGAAAGAGATGCTGCTTGGACTCAGAAATGATGTAGTTCACTATTGGGGAAAACTAGTTAAGAATCGACTTGCTCCAGTTTCTAACTTCTGTCTTTTGCATCAAATTTAGGAGTTCATAATCCTTAAGACTGTTCTGCCTTCTCCTCTCGAGCGTATGTTTTCAAAAACACAAAGCTTACAAAGATATAAGGAAGTAATGCCCAGTGAATGTTTATTTTTGCCAGTGGGAATTATTTAGCATGAACTCTGTCTGGTACTGAAAATTAAGTTTTAAGAGGTCTCATTTGGTTCATTTGGTCAGAATAAATATGACCATGTACCTGCATATGCAGAATTGCTTAGCCTAGATGGTCGGGCATCCTGCCCATTATGTGCACAGAACTAGAATATTCTGGTTATTGCAAGTCATAGATGATCTGCATTGGTAGAGTGGTGACAAGAATCTTGTGTTTCATTATTTCAGTCCTTCAGAGTATGATGTGCTAATTCAGCACAGTGACTCGGAATACTGTCAGCATTCATAAGCTTCCAGGGAATCCTAGTGCACTTGGGGGAAAAGCACAAAGTGCCAGATAGATTATGGTCTGCTTTTGTGGTCTTTTCAGGTTTATGAGCTTGTTACAAAATGTATGTGGGAGTGAACAGTTGATTTCCTTTCTCTTGGATTGTATGGTGCTGTAGATTCTGGCAGTGTTCTCTTTGGGAATTTTGGCAATGTGAAATTATCCAGGAGCAGAGAATACGGACAACTGCTGTTAAGCTTTCTATGTGGTACCTAAGCAGAAGAGTGAGCAGAGTCTGCCACGACTGCTGGTAATTCCAGTCTGTGAACTACCGAGCCATCTTGTGCTCAAAATTTGTCAATATTAGTAAAACTTAGATGTCTCAAAGTTTTGAGTGTTGATCCCTTTTTTTTTGGTATGCAATGTGTTCCAGAGTTTGGAGAAGAGTAAAGAAACTGCTGTTGTACTTTGAACCTGATTATTTCTATTTGCCACCTCAGTGCTGTTGCTACTAAGAATAAAAACCTTCCTGAATTCAGCCACTTCTATTCCTCTCTCATGAACAGTGTGCTGTTGAAACAACCAGTGGAAAGTCGCTATTTCCTACAAACTTACCTACTCATAAACAGAGGTTGCAGCAACAAATAAGCTGTGGGGAAATATGTTCTTGGCTACAGCTTTGCAGCTCTCTGCTTTGCATTATTTCCAGTGCTGTAGGCATTATCCTATGGTCAAGAAAGAAACCACAGAAGATGATTCTCATGCTGTGATTGCACTCAGTCACACTACTAAATTTTAAGTGTCTAAGAAAAAGAAATGCCCTTGTCTTTGTTCTTAACATTTGTCCTGATTCTCACCTCAGTCACAACTTGTTTTGTGTTCTGTTTTTACCTTGTATGCAAAACAAATGCAGAATATGCCCATGAAAGCCACTTGGGAAACACCTGTTTATGCAATAGAGATAGGGCTTAATCAGTGTTCTTTGTCTAATAACCTGGACAGGTGAATTGCAATGCCACTTAAAATGTACGTCATACATATATGAATGTCCTGATGTACTTTCAGTTGTAAGATGATCATGAGGACAAAGATGTTTGCTTGGTCTTTTATTCTCTGTGCAAAAACAGGTCCTAATGTCAGACTGTCTGCAGAGTCATTATTCTAGCAGCATTTTACTCTATTTTGTACAATGTTGTAAACATCTGTGCTATCATCAGTATTTTGTAAGACCCATATGTGTTCCATTTAGACAGATATTAATAAGACTATGACCTTTATTGTCTAGACACAAGAGTTCTCTTAAATGGACAGACCATCCATTCAGAAGAGTAGGTGTTTGGAAATAAGACAGGAGAGAATTACTGGAGGAATTGTACTACAGTTTCCTATAAGTAAGTGAAAATAAATGTTTATGTTTGAATAGGAGAGAATAAATGAAAATTTAAAAGACACAAAGCAATGAAGTGTATCGAGAAGGTTTTGGGGAAGCCAGCAAATTGAGTTCTGTAGTTGAACCTGTTAGTTTTGAGTGAATAGATTTGAGTAATGCAGATTTTAGTTATCTTGAAATTTCAGTCTTTTCTGTTACAGACATCTTAATTTTGAGATTGTATGAAGTGTGAATAAGAGAGCAATTGGAGAGCTCCTAAAAATGAGAGGCTTTTTTTCAGGAATAAATGATGAAGGGGGATTTAAATAAAGAAAATTAAAAAGGACTGATTGGTTTAAAGAGATGATATTACAGTAAGTGAAGCACTGAAGAGCATGCCTCTCAAACAGTTACAGATCATATTGATTTGACAGTGTTTTTTCTTATAGTCCATCTGCACCAACACAGATTTTTGGTTCTGATGAGTTCATCCTTTGTGAAAGCAAAAGGATTCTCAATCCTTCAGTGGATGAAGAATAAGTAATTTTGTTTAAAGTGACTTGGTTTTCACATGGATGATCTTTGCAGCAAGGAATAGAGATTTGCAAAATGTCAGCTATGAGTTCTTTTAACCTTTTTTAATTGGGAGGAGACGGAGAGGATTTGATGAGCTGGTAGTGCGAAGGAGGAGAATAATTTTCCTTGTGTAATTTACCTGCACATCAGCTCAGTTCCAGAAATTGTAAAATCATTTTCAGTTTACGAGCTGTTTTCTCTGCCTTGCAGCTGGACATCTTGCAAAGAGACTGAGGGGCTGGGAGGCTCTGGCAACAGTAATGGGCACGGAGAAAATCAAGTTTTATTTCCTTGACAAATTTAGAGATACTGGCTACTTAATAAATTGCTGGGAAATCCCTGTTATGGTTTGAAACTGCAGCAATTATGACCCAGTAAGGACTGGCTTAATGTGGGCTCCACCGGTGCATGTCAGAAACTACTGTATCTCTTTCCATGGCAGATGTTCCTCATGAATTAGAAGGTTCTCATCTAAACACAACTGAAATCAACAGAGCCTTTAATTCAGGACACAGGTCTACTGGCACACTGTTTGCTAAAGCATTGTCACTGAAAAGCTTGTTAGGAATTAATTTGATATATTTGTGGCCAGTGTATTGCATTTCACGTTGACAGTCTTGGGTTTTGCTGCTTGTCTAACAGTTTCCTCTTAAGGACATGTCCTTGGTGAAAACAGACCAAATTTGCGTAACTACTCAAGTTGGAGAAAGCCTCTAACTTACAACTGAGCACTTACTTTGCCTTTTATAAAGCCTGATGGAGGAAGACAGTCTCAGAAAACTCCTTAGTAAGGGAGAGTACTAAGTATGTTGTATGTTCCTGCAGGACCATGATAGGATGTGGGTTAACATGCAGACCTACAGAAATGTGACATTTTCATTTTAATTCAGTGCTATTTAAATGCAGTACAAGTGTGTGTGCAGTGTTTCTGCTCTTTCCTTCAGGGCATAGTTGCATCAGATGGGCTGATGGATGAAAGTTGTTTTTGCAGAAGGAAGGCTAAAGGGCAAGTGGAGTCTCCAATCATGAAATTAATAGACCATTCTCTGTGATGTTTGCTTTCTAGATAAATGTTCCAACACAGGCACCAATAGGAAAAACAACTGCATGCCTATATTAATTTAATTTGTGAGTAGTGTTGATTATACATTTTGCTAAAGACACTAGATGCTTTGGATTTAGCACGTGTTGTTGTGATTTGGAGGACAGATACTGACTGTTCTTTGGCCTTGCTGCTGTCTGCTTGTGCAGTGCTGAACAAATCACATAACCTTTTGCTACTATTATTTCTCGATCTACTAATGAGGGCTAGTCCACCTCTCATGATTTGCTGTGAGATACCCTGTTAAAATGTGGAATTCAGTTGTTTTCTATTGCTGGTCCTTGCTATTCAGGAAGTAAATAACACAAATGGAAATGGTCATCCACTTTGCCATTACGTGGGTTTTGAAGTTGTTTGGATGTCTATGATTTAAGATGGCTTACATTCCTCCTGCTACTGCAGGTTATCGCAGCTTCTGGACTCTGTATCCTAACCTGTGTGTATTAATTTGCTTCCAGTTCATATTGTTACAGTTCTGCAAGTAACTTTTTCCCTGGCCCTTGTTGCACAATTGTTGCAATTTCTCTCACGTGTATGAATATTAAACAGCGAATTTAACATTAAGTCCTTGAATGTTCTCCAAACCTGGCATCTATAGATGTGGCCTTCTCTGCCTTCTCACCAGTCTTTATGGTTGTGCTACAATATCTTAAGGTACCTGAGGTGACTTGCTCTTGGGTGGTGCTTGCTTTACTCTCTCTTAGAAAAGGCTAAATATAGGGATTCTACATTTAAATGTCTAAATTAGCTAGAGATCAGTCATTCTTCTCCACTCTTTTTAGTCACTCACACTTGTTTTGAGGACTGTATTTCTCCATCGTAAATTGCAAAGCTTGCACCTTTTTTTTTTTTCAAATTTTGTGTTTTCTTGTTGCACTGCATTTGCTTGCCAGGTTGGTTGGCTAAAAGCCAGAGAGATGTTGATCAAGGAGAGGTCGCCAAAAGCTCTGTTCAGCCCCAGCCCTTTCTCTTCCAAAAAGAACCTCTATCTGCATTTTGTCACAGCCACCAAAGAAAAGCAACTGTGATTTTTATTAAAACAGTCTGCTCCTGTTCCTTCAGGACATGGTAGCTTATGTTCTGTATGAAGGTGCTGTTTGGTTACATCTTAAAGTGTCTGTGAAGAGCACCAATGGAAATTTTGCATGGGGGGATAGGACTTGAATATGTGAATTGGCATACACTATGATGAGGTCTTGAAAAATTTCATCATCTACCAGGAACTTAATCAAATGTTCCCTCAACCTGATGTAATTGTATATTCTGTATAAAGTCAGTCCTAGTGTTCTGAGCTCTAGTCCCCTAGTGTAGGAGGGAATTGTGTCTAGCACAGCAGTGAAGTGGGGGGTCAACAAGACAGCTCTTGTTTGTTGTGAGTTTAATTTGCTGAGATGCGGGGAGATGCAGATCATGCAGGACTATTGTTATAATCTCTATATATGATATGCTTTCATATGCAAATATGTATTTTTATTTATATGTAACTGTACTAAAGTTTGTTTAAAGTATATGGTGACATTGCCCCAGATTGCTTTAATTACCAGCATAAATATCAGGACAACTTCCATGAATGTGACTGACGGGATTCCAGAAAAGAGAGCTGCTCTTTCCTTTAGTTAACAGTTTTTCAGCATGGTCCAGTAGGTAACTAAACCCCCAGGATGTTCCTCATTTCTACTGATTTAAGCTTGGGCTAGGCTGGCACACACTGCAATTCTGGACTTGTTCCAGTTTCTTACTGCTCTGCATTGTGTTCTGTAGAAGGTGTTCTGCCAGGGCTAATTAACGAGCTAGAGATTTTTGAAGCTTTTTCCACACTCTGAACCATACCCTGATAGCCTGCTTAACTGGGATTAATCTTCTAGTATTTTAAAAATTCTAAATGATACTCATGAGTTCCTGTGGGCTGCTGTTAGAAGTTGGATATGAAAGAAGGTACCTTGGCTTAATAACCAAACAAATAAAACCTGGTAATACAGTTGTTGGTAAGATGGCTCTGGGAGTAAACCGCAGGACACTTGCCTTCCATTCCCATGTCTTAACCACTGCAGCACCATTTTTCTTATGGGTGTATCATTGGATCATTTTTACTTCTGTTAGGCAGTTCAGACAGAAATATCACATACCTAATGTCCTTTAGTGTGATCTTGTATGAAAGTGCATATTGTCTGAAATACAAGTTAATAATATCAGGAACAGCGTGGCCAGCAGGTCCAAGGAAGTGATTCTTCCCCTGTACTCAGCGCTAGTGAGGCCACACCTCAAGTACTGTGTCCAGTTCTGGGCCCCTCAGTTCAGGAAGGATATTGAGGTCCTGGAGCAGGTCCAGAGGAGGGCAACTAGGCTGGTAAAGGGACTCAAGCACAAGTCCTATGAGGAGAGGCTGAGGGAGCTGGGGCTGTTCAGCCTGGAGAAGAGGAGGCTCAGGGGAGACCTCATCACTCTCTACAACTACCTGAAAGGAGGTTGTAGCCAGGTGGGGGTTGGTCTCTTTTCCCAGGCAACTATCAGCAAGACAAGAGGGCATGGTCTCAAGTTGTGCCAGGGGAGGTTTAGGTTAGATATTAGAAAGAAATTCTTTACAGAGAGGGTGATCAGACACTGGAATGGGCTGCCCAGGGAAGTGGTGGATTCTCCATCCCTGGAGATTTTTAAGAAGAGACTGGATGTGGCACTTAGTGCCATGGTCTAGTAACCGCAGCGGTAGTGGATCAAGGGTTGGACTTGATGATTTCAGAGGTCCCTTCCAACCCAGCTGATTCTATGATTCTGTGATAAAAAACATAGCAAGGAAAAAGTTTTTTACGAAACATTCAAAGACAGGGCTCTGAGCAACCTGGTCTAGTGGTAGGTATCCCTGCCCATGGGAGGGCGAAGTTGGACTGAATGGCCTTTAAAGGTCCTTTCCAATCCAAACCACTCCATGATTCTATGCTAGTACTGTGCAGTTGCAAAGCTACCATACAACTTGTGACCAGAGCCACCTGTTCCAGATGGGAAGAACTTTGTCTTCAGTGAGGGCTGATCCTAGAACCTACTGTCGGCAAGCAATATGAAGCTCAGCATACATTGTTGCATGACATTTTAAGGGGAAGGAAGGATGAAGAAAGGGGTAGGATCAAGACCCAGTGAGCATGGAACTGCAGTACAGCAGAGAAGATGCTCAGCTAAAGGGAAGAAACGACAGAAACAGCAGTGTCCCAAAGCAGCATTTTTTCTTCCATGGGATGACAATAAAGTAACAAATGGATAACTAATTGTTTAGTTCCAGGAAAAGAACTGTTCTTCTTAATAATTTCTGTTCAAGATTCTTGGTAACATTGATGGGAAACTCCCTGAAGGCCCAAGGAGACTATCAAGCTCTGCATTTGTGCTCATATACCACATTTGGCACCGTGGTAATTTCTGGAGGAAGACAGCTTTTATAACTCAGAACAGCAAGCAGGTCTTTTCCATTACAGCAAGCCTGATGTCTGATGGAGCACATGACAGCTTTTGTTCTGTGCACATGCAAGTATCTTTCCCAAAGAGTATCTTTCCCAAAGAGCAGCCTCATCAAGGCGTAGGTAGGGTGTGTGCCGCAGGAGGCAGTAGTTGGGAGGGAGGCACTTCCCAAGCAAGGCTACCCGGCAGCTCTGACACGGCCATCCTTTGCAGACCTGGGGGAGAGCCAGTGCACTGTCACTGTCCTTTGAGCGAGGGCACTTTTTTTCTTCTGTGCTTTGAACTAGGCTTGCTCTCAGTTTGTCTCTCTCCTGAGATTTTTGAGGCTCTTGCTCTCCCTCCAGCGGCAGGAAGCAGCTCCACACTCACTGGAGCAACTTGCTGCTGCTGTGAGGGTCAAAGCCATCTTCATTCCTGTCACGTTTTCTCACTTGTCCCCTCCTGATAAATTCAGACTGTGTCCTTGCTACCACAGAAACTGGGACCTCCAAGGGTGGGCCTGAATTTGCCATTAGTGGGAGTGTATTCCTGCTGACCAGTCAACTCCTGCCAGTGCCTGTTCACTGCCTGCTGCTTTCAGGGCTAGAGTGGCTGGGATATCACCTCTGTGCTCTATGTAGGATAGCCTTAATCAGCATCAGCAATTACTCTTTTTATTTTTCCAAGCACATGAGTTCATTTCAAGAGACCTGAGATTCATTTCTATAGTATGTCCTGTGTTGGAGAGAATGAAGAGGAAGAAAATACCTTTCAAAAATGTTTTCAGATAAACATTTCAATGAGGGTATGTGTAATCCTTTCTCTCCCAGACTTTAGTTTAATCCCTTTTCCCTGAACAAATAGGTGTCCTCTGGCAAGGAACTGATGCGTGGCTGTAAATAGGCAGTGTTTTTATTATCCAGTTAATCTCCATTTATTATCACACATTCAACAAACAGCAGACTCCCCTACTTGTTTGTCTGTTCACAGGAAGAAATTTTATCTTAGTCAGTGGATTATGGTAAAGGCTGAGTGAATCACTGTGCAGCAACACGGTCAGCCCTTTCAGGGTTATTCAAACAATGGGACTGACCAGCCAGCCAGATAAAATGTTTAATGCGCTAGATTGTCAGAATCATCAATTTAGTATTCATGTCTCTCTATAGCACTGCCTAAAGCCAGCATTTAAATGGAGCTAGAGAGGTTACATCAATGTAGCAGCTGGGCTTTGAGCATGTGGTGGCTGCAATACACACGGTGTTTTGAACTGAGGCGGAATTCAGGGTTCCTCTGAATCACTGTGTCACCACTTGTCAAATGCAATAAACTTTACCCAAGAGGCTGAGGATGCAACATACCTCTTTCTGTCAGGGTTATAAGTTGCAACCTACAATAAGTGAGTGACTGCAGGTAGCACAACAATGCAGTATCTTGTTCATGTCTTCTCAGTTCCTGCAGGTGTTTGAAATTAACTTCTGCCTTTCCCTGGAATCCCTTGCACTTCACCTTGCTTGTGCTGCTGCACTGCTTTTGTCCGCAAATACCCTTCCCCTCCTCCCTGCCTCTTGTCTTGTTGGGGTCATCTGTGTCCATGGTCCAGCAGGCTGAGTTTCTGTATCTTTTTTTTTTTCATTAATTGAAGCACAGCTTTGTATGCAACTGCCATTAACAATAAGTACTGTACAAGGGCTGCACTTGTGCTTGTCTCAACAAGGTTCCTGAATTGTTTTTCCCCAAGCTTCTACTATGAAAGCAAGGACTGGTCTTCCTCTAAACAGTCACTACTGACCAGTAGCACGTTCCTCCTGCTGATAGTCACAGCAGCTGCAGCTGCACCCAGATGCTAGTTTACCCAAAGCCGTTGTCTAATCCAGTGTTTTTGCTGACCTGGGTTCATGTCCCTGACTTTGCTATGTCAGAGACAACACTTCCATTCTGTGCTGGATGCTGAGCAGACATGAGTTTGTCTTGGAACATGCTCATTTAAACCCCACATTTCTTCCTCAGTTGAGGTATCTCTGTGGCTCCTCTACTGTGTGTTAGTTCTCATTTTGCTAGAGGTTGGTTTACAGGGACTGTCCTGGCAGAACAAGGGGAAGAAATACCCTGCTGCATGGCAAATTTGAGGCACTTTCTGAATATATTTATTTGCACGGTTGCTCTCATAGTGATTTGGCTGCTAATTCTAAAGTAGAATTTGTCAGAGGGGGGGTCCCTCATTCCTGCTTTTCTGCCATGTAAAGTGTCACGCTACAGCTAAGCTTGCCTTGACAAAATAAAAAGGAAAAATCTAGTGATAAGATTAGGAGATACTGCAGTGTAATAGTTACATTATTGATGTCTTGGATTACTGCTCTCTTATAAGCAAAACCAGTAATAATTTCAGTGCAAGGAATGAATGTCAAGGTAAGGCACAGTCTGAATAA